CTGCAAGTAGCCCAAATATTTACCTTTGAGGCCCTAATGCCAAGAAAAAAATATGAGGGCCACTGCATGTACCGTTCGGCCGTTATCTCGAAAAAAAGTCTCTCGGTTATGAATTGTCACCCTGTATCTTATTACCTTAGATTGCCGACATTTCGTATGGATTCCGTAAGAAAGTAAAGTTCGAAGAAATCTTAACATTTGTCAAAAATATAAAATCTTGCAAAGGATTAATTCATCTATATTATCATCCTCACCCTCGAGAAGAATTAATTTTCCAACATTGTGATGAGCTCGAAATGGTCTCCACGAGTTACTTTGATCCATGCATCGAAAAGAATGGTGTCAATATCAAACAATTGCACTTATTTGATATTAGATTAGATGGATTCAAGGAAAAGGCACATTATTTTCCAAATCTTGAAAGACTACACATTTGGTTCGATAATGGTGATTATATTTATATTTTGAACAAATTTTTTGTTAATGGTCATCATCTTTTATCCACAGACTGGCCAGATGACTATTACGATGGTCCGATACTGAGAAATCTTAAAATACTTGAGCTGTTCTTATCTTCTTATTCTCCTGATGATATTTATTATGGTTTCCAATTCATAGATTCATGTCCAAATCTTCAAAGTGCCCATATTTACACGCGACACGATCATATTTTTGTTGATGAATCGTTAAAACATAAATCTTTGCGAGATTTAGTTATTAAATTTGTAAGTATTTTCGCTTGAAATGTATAAGTTAATTTGTGAAATATTTAAAGTGAAGTGAAATATTTGATATTTATTTCCAAATCAAACCTAATAAGAGAAATTTATCACAACAAAAGTATCTGAATTCATCTGAATCAATTAACTAATTTTGTACATACACAGTATTCTTTTGATTATTATTGTGCCTTCAACTGGAATGAATTTAAAAGCTTGTTCATGAAATATCCAAATCTTAAACATCTTGCACTGAGAAACAACAATAGCCTGAAAAATAAACATGTGGAGCAATTGGTTACCATTTTACCCAATTTGGTGTTATTTGATGTTCGTGGTTGTCCAAAAGTCACTCAGGAGGCTGCTAATTGTGTCCAAAATTATAATAGACTACATGGACGGGCAATCAAGTTTTATTTTGATGATAATTACCATGATATTCAATCAGATTGGCCGCATTTATCCACTAAATGTGAAACAATTAGTCAAGGTTTTGATTTCATGAAAAATTGTTTTCTTAAAGATTTTGATGGACTTTCTACTTTCTTAATTTCTAATGAAGGCTAAATAAGATTCAAAACACAATATGTATTCATGATATTAATCAGGAAGATCTTATAATTTTAAAGCAATCTGAGGTGAAGCTATCAAAACTTAATTTTAATTTACAATAAAAATTTGTTGACATCAAAAGATTTCCACGTCCATTCAAAATGACTTTAACATATGCTCAAAGATTTATGATCAGTAATACCAGCCGCAGTGCGTGTATTATTACAGATCATTTAAAACAAGTCATTTAATGGCACATCTTCCGGTAAAATTACACTCTAATCAACTCATTTAAAAGGAATAGTCAGAATTTTATTCAGTTTTAACCTTATCCCAAAAAGGTAGAGCAAGATCATTAATGTAAGAGAAATTTATTGCATCAATGAAAATCAAAATTAGAAACATGAGCATTGCCAGATAAAATAAGATAAATTGATTAAAATTCACAAGAATAGCATTGAAGAGGTCAAGTCTTCTTATAGAAGAAATTATTCACATTTTGTCGATCACGAATTTTAAAACTCACACCAGTTGTGAATGAGTTTAAAAGTTTCTTGATGAAGGCTCTGACTGTGTCAACTGAAAATTTCAACTGGAATGAATTGGAAAGATTGTTTACGAAATATCCAAATCTTAAACATCTTGCCCTGTGGAGCTACAAAAGCCTAGAAAATGAATATGTTAAACGATTCGTCCATATTTTACCTAATTTAGTGTTATTTGATGTTCGTGGATGTCCAAAAGTCACTCCAAATGCTATTAACTATGTACAAGATTATAATAGACTACGTGGACGATCAATCAAGTTTTATTTCGATGGGAATTACCATGATATTCAATCAGATTGGCCTCATTTATCAACCAAGCGTGAAAAAATAAGTCAAGGTTTTGATTTCATGAAAAATTGTTTTCTTAAAGGTTTTGATGGACTTTCTACTTTCTTACTCGTTAGTATCTGGTGAAGACTGAATAACCAAATGGACACATGTATCGGTATTTCAATCAGTCATGCATGTACTTGGAACTGTACTTGTGAATTCACAGTGTGTTGAGGTTCTTTCGTCGCTTGAGAATTAAGTCTTTTTCTGTTTCGTGTTTTTATTTGAATTTTGTAAAATGTCTCGCTTCCCTAACTCTTCATGAAATATTACTTTACTAACGTATCAGAATTTTCAATGATAATTTAATTTTAAAAATAAATTCTTGAAGAAGATTCACAATCCTGAATCCTGAACCCTCCAAATAAAATGTAAGTGGAACTTTTGATGAACTCGAAATGGTAGCCAAATGAAAACCCAAAGCTGAAAAATGAAAGACACTTTTAGCTTTTCCATTTTAATGCGTAATAGGAATATCTTGATTCTACTGATATTATTCCATCTATCGTTTGATTCTATGATTAAACCAAAACTTGAAAGATTCACGAGAAATACAAAAAGCTAAAGTATTAAATAAATCTTTAATATTAACGAAAGCAATCGGATGATTGAAGTTGAGAGTATTGAAATAACGCTGGTTACTATAATAAAAGTTGTATTTTTTCTTGACGTTGATCATGAAGTTGCAAAATA